CCGGACAGCCCCTGATCTGATGGCTTTCCTTGTTCTCTGACACCCCGGAGAGCCACACATTCCATCTGGTGGTCATCAGAGATAACATTCTTAAGAAACCTAGAATTATCAAACTGCTTAATTAGAGAGAGACGGTTTCCCTGGGGTATGCCCAGATCCCTCCCTCCCCCCCCCCCCCCGTGGTTTATCTCCTTCTCCGAGGGGCCCGCCCCCCCGCAGCTAATCGCTACCTTTAGCATGATGCTGCACACGCAGTCACTCCCTTTATTTGCTGTGACATTGGTGCTGGTGTATAAGGAGACATTCCCTCTTGGATGTTCCAACTCTCCCTCTTCATCAGCAAACTCTAGAAGGCTGATGCCAGTAAGTGAAATATAGTGGCAACCATACTTTGGTAAAAACTGCTGTTTGAATTTTAAACCTGCTTTTAAGGCAGTTTTCCGGTGCCTGGGACCATAACCTTTGGAGATTGACCACTGAGTTCTGCTTCTGTAAGATAGAGCCAGCAGGATGTCCAGCAGGATGTGACTGGGGACGACCCTGTGGGCTGCCCCCAGTTTTTAGAATATAGTCTTTAGGATTTAGAATTTAGAACAAAGGAAAATTCCTGTGGTTTGAACTGTTGCAGAGCTCCCCAGCGGTCGAACAGTGCAGGGGGAGAGTTTGGAGAGACTTGCTTTGTTCATCGGGCGATGGGCTTGGGGAGGATGAATTTAAATTCTAAGCAAGGTTACAGGCAGAACTTCCTTTTTTTTTTTTTTTAATTAAAGAGCCAGCCCTATGTGCACTTAGTGGTTATCTCAATGCTGGCCTTGAAAACAATACAGTTCTATCCAATTAAAAAAGTGCACCTGGCATGGTATTGAGATTATGGGCATATTTGGTCTCTGGCCTACAAGGTCAGACAGCTAAGTTTATCTTCATCATTATTCAAACGGGCTAAAGCAACATTTTATCTAGGAAGAACAGCAGAAAATTTCAAACAACAGTTTGTTGCAAAATAGGGGTTTTCCTTCTCAGAACCTTTAAAAAGAACTACCTGCCCCTGAAGCAGTGCAGTTGTTGTGAAGTCCGCCTGCGTATGGTGCTCTTACGGCTGTCCTGGCCAGATATTTCAATAAATCTTTGCCTGCTTTTTTTTTTTTAAATAAATCATCAGCCTCTGGTGGTCTTATTTTGAACCCAGGGTTCGACCCCACAACATTAAGGAGGGAAGGATCTTCAGCTTCAGAAGTCTTCAGTTACTAAATGAGCACCTACTATGTGTTAGATACCAAGGATACAACTAGGAGCCAGGTTATCTTTACCCTTATGGGGCTCATGGTCCAGTGAGAAAGACAGGTAGGAAAATAAATTTTTAAATATTGTGAAAAGCACTCTAAAGGAGTGATTTAAGGGTGTAATAAGAGAACCTAATTTAATTAAAGAGTTGGGAAAGGTTTCTCATAGCTGAGACCAAAAAGAGGAACAGGTGTTAGCTCGGCAAAGATCAGGGGACCAGTGTGCCATCTGCAGAGGAAGAGCTGAGTCTGTATAGAGAAGTCACTGACAGAAGGGCCAGGATGCTGGTACCTGAGCCTGCTCTGAAATTCTGGGGATGTATTGGAGTCTCCATCATCAGTAATGGAAGGAGCAGAGGGAATGAAGGAGAGAGGGAGGGAGGGACAGATAGATGGACGCATGAATGGATGGAAGGCAGAGAAGTAGGAAGAAAGGAGAGTTCTTTGGAGGTTCAAGGAGTGATGAAAGCAAGTTAAGGTTGAAAGTTGGGAGAGACTGGGCTATTGGTCCAGAATGAGAAGGAACATGCAGTAGCTGAGAGCAGAGGGAGGCATGGGGCAGCTGAGGTTGGTGGTGCAGGAAAGCAGAGCCCACAGCTTGGGTATTCTGCAGAGCCTGGAGTTGCTGTCAGGGTGTGGGCAGCCCTAGACGTCACTTTGCTCCAACATTGATCGCACCTTTGGCGTGTCAAATATGATGCCCCCCCCTCCATATCTCTGCTCCGTGGTCACCACCACCCTCCCACAGGCTCCAGAAGGAAACCAGCATTCCCCTCCAGGGGATGTTTCCGGGCTGGTGGGAGTCCAGAGGGGGAAAGAAGGCCCACAAGGAAATGACCTCACCATGGGGAGAGATCTGAACCGTCACAGAGGTCCGACTGTGGGGTGAGTGGACCACTGGATGCCTTAGCAGAAGTGGACCCATTTCAAGGGGTCCCCTTCTGAGTGTGACCAGTGCCCAGCCCATCAAGACAGACTGTAACAGGATGGCTAAAAAGTCTCTGTTCACATCCTGCACACCATCCAGTAGTTGGATACACAACATGTTTTTATAACTTTTTCTCCCCCCTCTCATATCACATGCTCAGTACAAAAAAAAAAAAAAAGAAGACAAAAACACAAGGAAAATGAGTGTTCTGCATACCTTATTTTTTCTACTTAGAACTATATGAGCATTCCCCTGAGCCAATAAATATTTGTGGCCAGGATGATTTCTTTTTTATTTTGAAATACTTTTAGACTCGAAAGTTGTAAAAAATAGTAGAGTTGTTATATCCTTCACCCAGCTTCCCCTAACATTAACGTGCAATAGATCCGTGTTACCGTTAGCAACACCAGGAAATTTACATGGATACTGTTACTATTATATTCACTAAACTGCAGACCTGACTCAGATTTCACCAACGGTCTCACTAGTTTTCCTAACGCCGGGATCGAATCCAAGCTCCCACGTTGCGTTTATTCTGTCATGTCTCCTTAATCCTCTTCTACCTGACAGCTCCTTGGTCTTTTCTTCGTCTTTTGTGACCTTGACCCTTTTTTGAAGAGGCTGGACAGTTACCCTATAGAATGTCCCTTGATTTGGATTTGTCTCTTGTTTCCTCATGATTCTGTTGAGGTTATGAATTTGTTGTGTGTGTGTGTGTGTGTGTGTGTGTGTGTTTATCAGAAGTGATGCTGATTCCTTCCCAGTGCATCCTATCAGGGGGTTTCGGTTGTCCGTTTGATTTATGACTAGGGGTGTTAACCTTGCTCACTTGGTGAATGTGCTATGGGCTGGATTTCTTCACTGTGAAGGGCCTGTTTTTTAGGATAATCCTTGAGTGGCTGTTGGCTTTGCATCCTAGTTCTCTACTGTTAATCAGTCCCTCATTTGGAGTGTAACTGGTTTTGGTTTGTACTGTTACAAAGAATGCTACACTGGCCGTTCCTATTGGCACATCTTAGCACACATCTGTAATTGTTCTTAGGATAAATTCCTAGAAGTAGAATTGTTAGAGCAAAGACTATTGACATTTTTGTAAAGGCGAGGCATGCCTGGGGCAGGGCTATTTGTTTGTGTCTGTGTTTGTTCCTCCATTTGTTTCAATCCATTTTATTGAGGTATAATTTAAATACAGGGAAGTGCACAGATTTGAAGCTATATTTCAGTGAGTTCTGACAAATATATACATCCGTGAAACCACCAACCCAGTCACAAGATAAAAGATTTCTGTCACTCCCCCAAGTTCCCTGATGCCCCTTGCAGTCAGTCAATCCTCCCCCTATACACACCCCAGGCAACTTCTGACCTGATTTCTATTACTGCAGGTTAGTGTTACCTACTCTAGGATGGTCGATAAATCGCAATTATACAGTACGCCCTCTTTTATAACTGTTTCCTTTGATTCAAACTAATGTCTGTGACACTCATCGATGTTGCATGTATCAGCCATTTGTTCGTGTTTCTTGCTGAGTAGTACCCTATTGTATAAATGCACCCCAATCTGTTTATCTGCTCTCCCACTGATGGACATTTGGGCTGTCTCCAGGTTGGGGATATGATGAATAAAGCTACTATGATCATTAGCATACCAGTGGACATATGTGTTCATTTCCCTCGGGGGCACACCTAGGAGCGGAATTGCTGGGTCATTCGTAGATGTTTAACTTTATTAGACAGGACAGGGCGGGGTTATTTTCAGTTCCATTTTGGAGCACAGGCCGCCCCACGCTCGGGGGCCTTGTCCAAGAGCAAAGGGCAGGAGGGAAACAGAATTGTTGAGCACGGCTCTGCGCCCGGCACAGTGCTGCATGCGCTCCGTGCGTGTCCCCTTTAATCCTCAGAGCAGCCTTAGAAGGTGGGAGTGGGACTCCCATTCTGCATATGTGAAAACAGAGGCTCACAAACATTCAGCAGGGCAAGATTCAAACCTGGCCCTGCTGAAACCGGCCTGGCTCAGTGGATAGAGTGTCGGCCTGCAGACTGAAAGGTCGCAGGTTTGATTCCGGTCAAGGCCATGTACCTTGGTTGCGGGCACATCCCCAGTAGGAGGTGTGCAAGAGGCAGCTGATCCATGTTTCTCTCTCATCGATGTGTCTAACTCTCTACCCCTCTCTCTTCTTCTCTGTAAAAACTCAATAAAATATGTTATTTAAAAAAAAAAAAAAAAAAAACTGGCCCTGTCTGAGTCCCCGAGTCTATGTTCTTTCCCCAGTCTATGTTCTTACCTCTGGTGGCAGCAGCTGATGAGCCGGGAAGGAGAGCATATATCTTACCCCCGTCCACCCTAACCTGCCTCCTGTGGTCCATCCTGCCCGTGGCTCTGAGGGCTGTCCCTGATGCCCGGGCCAGCCCTCGAGAGGTGAGGGTGATCTGTGTGCGGGGCCCCAGGGCCTGTGCCCCCGCAGGTGGTTTTGAGCCCTCCAAGCCACAGCAGACCCTGGGGAGGGACCCGCACGCCAGCCCTCTGCAGCGGTGTCTGGTTTCTCCCTGTCTGAAACGTGATCCGCGGAGCCCTGATCCTCGGGGCTGGTGGGCAGCGGGTGAGGGCAGCGGGCAGGGGCCGCGTCTCCCCGGCCGTATCTCAGGCCCATTAGGAGCGGGCCTGAGTGCTTTCCAAAGCTGATTAATGGCCTGCCCGTGACCTGGAATGTCATTACTGCCCGGGCCAGGGGCCCCCGAGGGGTCCTTGGGGTCTTTACTACTAATAATAATTGATGCTCTTCGTGTGGTTGCAGGGAAAGTTCTATCTGGTCATCGAGGAGTTGAGCCAGCTGTTCCGATCGCTGGTCCCCATCCAGCTGTGGTACAAGTACATCATGGGTGACGACGCTGCCAACAGCCACTTTCTGGGCGGGGTCCTGATGGTCCTCTACAGCCTCTGCAAGGTGAGGCCCCGTTCACTCACTGCCCCTAAGGGCCAGGGTGGGGGGCCCTTACCCTCACTTCTTTCAAATTGAGGCAAAATCCACACAGCAACAGAACTCAGTGACATGGAGCAGATTCGTAGTGTTGTGTGCAACCACCACCTCTGTCTGGCTCCAGGACATTTTCATCCCCAAAAAGGAGCCCTGTACCCACAAAGCAGTCGCTCCCCATTCCTCTGCCCTCCCCAGCCCCAGCCCCAGCCCCTGGAAATCACCAGCCTCTCCACCTGTGTGGATTTGCCTATTCCGGACACAATGTGCGATTTTTAAAAAATATATTTTATTGAGTTTTTACAGAGGAAGGGAGAGGGATAGAGAGCTAGACACATCGATGAAAGAGAAACATCAATCAGCTGCCTCCTTCACACCCCCCACTGGGGATGTGCCTGCAACCGATGTACGTGCCCTTGACCGGAATCGGACCTAGGGCCTTTCAGTCCGCAGGCCGACGCTCTATCCACTGAGCCAAACCGGTTTCGGCACAATGTGCGTGCGATCTTGTATGTCTGGCTTCTCTCACTGAGCAGCATGTTTCCACGGTTCCTCCTGGCTGCGGCCTGTCAGGACTTCATTCTTTTCATGGTTACATCCACCCTAGTTTATTTTCTTGTCTTTTGTAATTCTCACCCAAAGATATCTTTTCCATTGATTTCAGATGGAGCAGAAGGGAGGTAGGAGGGAGGGAGAGAAAGAGAGAGAGAGAGAGAGAAACATCAATCTGAGAGACGTACATCGATTGGTTGCCTCCTGTTCACGCTCCAACTGGGGCTGAGGATTGAGCCTGAAACCAAGGCATGTGCCCCTGCCCGGGAATCGAACCTGCGGCGCTTTAGTCCGAGGACCAGCACTCCAACCACTGAGCCAAACGGGCCAGGGCCACCCTAATTTCTTGTCCATAAAGCTCCCCACATGCTAGCCTTACACAGAATCTTCACAACTCTACAGAGTGTGCACCATCCTTGCTCTCATTTGATGGGCGAGGAAGCAGAGGCTCAGAGAGAAGTCCCTTGCCAGGGTCACTCAGCTAGAGATAACAGCGTGAGCGTCCAACCCAGGCAGCCTGCTTCCAAACCATGCCACTCTTCCCCACAGCCCTCACCGCCTCTGCACGCGCTTTCTGTTCCTGCTGCATTGCACACCATCAGCTCTGCAGTCAGTACACAGTCCTTCCTTCTCATTGTTAGTACAAATCACTTTCCCCCTTCTTGATCTTAGAGGCTCCTGGGGAAATGCTTGTGTTCTTCTAGGTCCTTCTTCCCAGCAGGACTAGTCAGGCAGTGCAGGCAGTGTCAGACCGTGGGGCTTATCTAGTAGTCTACTGACCTGATCAACTGGAAGTGGCTGATTGGAGTGCTAGATGGAGAAGGATTATGGGCTCTGGCTGGGCTCAGAGGAAGAGTGTTGCGATCGATTAGCAATGCCTGCCCTGGGCTTGGGAGAGGAAGAGGCAGTGTGCAATGCCATGTGTTTACTCCCCAGGTACAGGGGAGGCTGTTGATGGAAGGCAGGAAGTTCGAAGCCAAGCAGAACTGGTGGGAAGGGGGGGTTTCAAATGGGAGAAAGTGCCATGAAAATGCTCAGAGGCAAAGACGAGGGGTGGGGGCAGTGGGTGGCTCGGGAGTGGTAAGCGAGATCCTGTACAATCCTTGGATGCTTTTCAACCATCACCCTGCTCTCCTTCCAGTCCTTCGACATCTGTGGCCGCGTGGGTGGGGTCAGGAAAGCCCTGAAGCTTCTTTGTACCTCTCAGGTGAGTCGGCTTCATGTCGTCCTGGCCAAGGTCACAGGAACTAGGAGCAAGAGCCAGAAGCAGGTCTCAGTGTGCTTCTCAGGGTCCACAGCTGTGTTTCTCTCTCTCTCTCCCTCCCTTCCTCCCACACACAGAATTACGGAGTCCGGGCCACTGGGCAGCAGTGCACAGAGGCTGGTGACATCTGCGCCATCTGCCAGGCCGAGTTCCGGGAGCCTCTCATCCTTATGTGCCAGGTGAGCAGGCCGGGCAGGGGCATCGGAGTCTGAGGCTGGGGGACCGGCAGGCCCTGCCCCGGGCATCAGTCTCAAGTGCCTTTCGCTTTACCAAACCTCGAGGCTCTGGGATGGGTCTTTGGGAACAGTGCAGTCCAGACCAGAGTCAGATCTGGGTTCTGATCTCAGCTCTGTCTCTCCTTAGCTGGGGGACCTGGACCAGGTTACCTCGCCTCTCTGAACCTCAGTTTCACTGTCGAAAATGAAAAATTCACTCAGGCATAGTGTCAGAGTATCGTGATTGTGAAACCCAGCAGCACTGTGGGTGGGTCATTCCACCTCCCTGAGCCTTGGTTTTTCTCATTTACAAAACGGGTATCACACCAATGCCTACCTTGTAGGGCTAATATTACGATTAAATGAGATCATCTCTGGAAAGAACTAAATTTGAATTACTTAGTCATAAAAGTTGTTCATATGTATATAATTATATTTACCATTTGTTTTTTATTATGATTAGTTGTGGGCCACCACCCTATAGCAGTAGGTACTGGTTAGTCCCTTTCATTTCCTTCATGTATCCCCTCTCCTCCTCCTCCTCCTCCTCCTCCATTCTCCCCCACCCCGACATCAGGGGCCGAGATGTCAATTCAGCAAATGTGTATGAGTCAAGCATCCTACCAGACAGCAGGGAGGGGAGGCAGAGGGCTCACAGCCCCTGTCCCCTGCTCTGGAAGCTCGCGGTCCCCCTGGGGAGGCAGACACATACATAAATAACTATGAAACAAGGCAGGCCGTGGTAAGTGCTGTGTAAGAGAGATTCATGCAGCGTCCCCGGGGACCGGGGACCGGGGCAGATAGCGATGAGCTCGAGGTTGGAAAGGCCTTGGGGAGGAGGCACCGCCTGCAGACGAGAAGGAATCGGGAGCATATGGCTCCTCCCACCACCACCTTCCGGGGTGAGAAGACAGGAGGTGGGTGGTGGTGGGGGGGGGGGGTCCTCTTTTGGCATCAGCAGAAATTTTTGCTTTTGCTTTTGATTTTTGGGCATTGTAGCGGGCTTGTTTTTTTAAATTTTTTTTTTCATTGTCATTATTTTAAAAATTGAGAATATATTTGCATGATCCAACATTCTTGACTATGGAATTCATGAGTGAGGAGTCATGACAACGGAACGCCATGTGGGCCCCGGGCGGGGTCCTGGCACGGAGAAAGGGCACGGGTGGGAAAGGCGGTCTGACGAACTCCTGATCAGGCCTGGCGTGTAGGCAACGGCCATGCCTCTGTAGCTTCTTAGCTTCGACCAGTGCACGGTGGAGATGCAAGGTCACGTTACGGGAAACGGGGACTGGGTGAGGACCTTCTGTGCTCGTGGCCACTTGTCTGTTAGTGTAACATTCTCCCAAAATCAAAAACCGCACTAAACAACGTTTTAAAGAAGGAAAAGGGAAAGTGGTTACGGGCTCCTGCCCTTGTCCCCAGCTCCCCAGTTCCCTCAACACCCCACAGGCAATTATTGTTACCGGTTTCCCTCCTGTCTTTCCAGAGACGCCTATAGACACACTGGACACGTCTTTTTCAAGACGACATAAGTCGCAGCATATTCTACCCAGGCTGCATCCTGCATCTCCCCTTTTGGACTTGATACTCTGCCTTAAGAAATTGCCCCTTATTTGCCTATCACCCTGCTTTTCGGATAGTCCCCGATGTGTTTAACCCTTCTCCTCTGGGTGGGCCCTGAGTCGCGGATAATCTTTCGTTGTTACAAATGTGGCTGCCGTGGGAGGTCAGAAATGGGGAGACTCGTGGCACCTTCCTGGGCCCATGGTGTTGACTAAATGAATTAATTCAAGGGAAGCATGTAGGATCACACCGGGGACGTGCTCAGGGTTCAATAAATAATAGCTCTGCCCTCGCCAGGTTGCTCAGTGGTTAGAGCATCGGCCCACACTGGGGAGTCCCAGGTTCATGTCGGTCAAGGGCACATACCTTGGTTGCAGACTCAATCCCTGGCCCCGGTTGGATTGTGCAGGAGGCAACCAATTTATGTGTCTCTCTCACATCCATGCTTCTCTCTCTGTGCCTCTCCCTCTTCCCTCCACTCTCTAATAATCCATGGGGGGAAATATATATCAGCTCTTATTGGCACGCCTTCCCTTTCCCACATGTGCGAGCTCTCGGTGGGATAGGTTCCTGGTGGCGGCCTCACTCGGGCGGAGGTTATTGCTGCACTGCCCTCCATCGAGTGTATCCGAGGGCCGAGTGTGACTCGACCTCTCACTCCACCCCGCTATGTTATCAAGCCTTTTTTTTTTTAACTTCTTTATTGATTATGGTATCACATAATTGTCCTCATCCCCCCATTCCCATCCCAAACCCCTCCCCACTTTGCCAATCTGACAGGTGACTAACACTGTCTCGGAGCAGGTTCAATTTGCATTTCCCTAATTATGAGCATCTTTTCATGCGCTGCTGAGCCATCTGCATTGCCTTTGCAGCAGCCACAGTGAGAGTTTGGGCCTGATGTCAAGGTGAAAGGCTTCCTTCTTCCGCTCTGGCAATCTCTCCAGGCCCTAGGCTGTTTGTCTCTTTCCCTTTCTTCTCCTGGTACCCCGCTGTCTCCCCGAAGCTGGGTGAGAATTCCCAGAAGAGAGACAAAAAAGCCATTGCCCGGGAGCCACACCACAGCTAGTGGTGGTTGGAGCCCACCAGCATGGCTGGTCAGGTTGAGCACATGGTTCAGGCTTGCTTTGCTGGTGAAAGGGCCTTGTTAATTCTCAAATGCATTGAATGTCTGAGTGAAATGTTTCTTTCTTAATAAATGCTTCCCTGACTTCCCTTCCCTAGACTAGTTCATGCTCTGGGTTTATGGTTTCATAGATTCCTATGTTTTTCCTTTGTAGCACTTACTATCCCAGTTATCAGCTAGTAGCTGATTAGGCCGCTGGTTGTGCAAGATCTGTCTCCTCTTTGTCAAATTTTAAGCAACTTGAGAGTGGTAACCATGCCTATCTTGTGTAAATGCAGTCACAGTACTGACTTAGTAAATATTGGATGGATGGATGGATGGATGGATGGATGGGGTAGATGAAATGTGATGGATGGTTGGGATGGACATGGATGGTGACCAGGTGCGGGGGTGGGTGAGTGTGCAAAGATGGGTAGATAGAGTTAAAAGTGTGTAGGTAGCTGGGTGGTTGGGGAAATGGATAGACAGATGGGGGAAAAGGTGAGTGGATGGATGGGGGAATAGGTAGGTGGATGGGGAACTAGATGGGTGGCAGGATGGATAGTTGGCTAGATGGATGGATGGATCCAGGGACAGCTGGATGAAGAGCCCACTAGGCTAAAGGATGATCTTATCTCCCCTTCCAGCCTGGCATCGCGAGACAGAGAATAAAAAATTGAATGTAATCATAACAATTACTGAATATTCGCCAGCAATTATAAAATACTTATTATTGGCCAGGCACTGTTCTAAGTGCCTTATTTTTTCTTCTCTTTTTACAGAACATTTTGTTAAGACTTTTATATTATTGCCCCTACACTCTTTATTTTAAACATTTTAAGCCTACAGAAAAGTTGAAGGATAGGGCAATGAACACCCTTTTATCCTTCACCTAGATTTACTAACCATTAACATTTTACTGTGTTTGCTTTTCTTGATATAAATTTATCCCCCTAAACCTGTTGAGAATAAGTTGCTGACATCTTGATTCTTCATCCCTAAATATTTCAGCATACATCTCCCAAGAACAAGGACATTCTGTCCCATAACCACAATTCCACTAGCACATCCCAGAAATTTTAAATTGATATAAAATCCCAATATTCAAACTTTCCCATTTGTCTTCAAAACATTCTTCATAGTTAGAGTTCCCCTTTCCTTCCCCCATTCAGGATCCAATCAAGAATCATATACTGCCTTTGATTCTCACATCTAAGTGCTTTCAATCTTCCTAAGGGGGGAGCACTGTTATCCCCATCTTACAGATGCGGAAACTGAGGCACAGGAGGTTAAATCACTGGTCCAAGTTAAAGCCAGAAAGTAGCGGAACTTGTTAAGTTTCCAGTATCCCTGTGTTTCCCTTCACCTCTGTGGTCTATTCTCCACCCAGCTGTATTTTTTATTATCTTAAGTTTTACATATGTCCCCTTTTTCCCCAATTGACACCCCCTCTCCCACAACTATTCCTACCCAGGTAAGCCCCCACCGCCCCAGTGTCTGTGTCCCCTGGTTATGCTGATATGCACACATACAAGTCCTTTGGTTGCTCTCTAACCCGCCCACCTCTCTGCCATTTGTCTCTGGGCCTATTTTTGTTCATCAAATTATGTAGATCATTATATCTCACATATGAGTGACATCATGTGGTGATATTTATCTTTCTCTGACTGCCTTCCAAAAGGATCTTTTAAAAATTCCAATCATATCAAGTCACTCCTCTGCTCAGGGCCCTGCCATGGCTCCCTGATTCTCTCAGAGTAAACACCCAAGTCCTCGAATTGGCTCACAAGGCCCTGTATAATCTGCACCACCCCATCAGCTCTCTGATTTCGTCTCCCCCTCCCGCCTCCCGCCGCCAAGCTCAGCCACACCGCCCTCGCTGGCCCTCCGGCACAACGGGCACTCCTGCCTCAGGGCCTTTGCACGAGCTGTTTCCTCTGCCTGGTGCGCTCTTTTCCCAGATGCCACCGGGGCTAACGCCTCACCCTCCTGCAAGGTTTACCCAAATGTCAGTATCTCAGACCGACCAGGTAAGTCTCCCATCCCCTCCTCCTCAAGGAACCGGGACTAGACAAGCACACCCTAGGCCCCCTTCCCTGCATCTCCATCCTAGCACTGGAAACTGACATTCTCTACGTTTTAAACATTCATTTTGCCAGCTGTCTCCTCAGCCGGAGTGCGAGCTCCGGGAGGGCAGAGCTGTCTGTTTCGCTGGCTGCTGGGTCCCCCGCGCCTCGGACCGAGGTGGGCACGGAGTCGGGGGGCGCCCGGGTAAGCGCCCCGGTGGCCCCGATTGCTGTTCCCGCAGCACGTGTTCTGTGAGGAGTGCCTCTGCCTCTGGCTGGACCGCGAGCGCACCTGCCCGCTCTGCCGCTCCGTGGCCGTGGACACCGTGCGCTGCTGGAAGGACGGGGCCACGTCGGCGCACTTCCAGGTGTACTAGCCCCGGAGCTCGGGCGCGCCCAGGGAGCGGACGGCAGGTCCGTGCGGCCTTCCTGGAAAACAGGCCGCACGCTCTCAGTGTCCTGCCCCCTGCCTTCCTCCCCCTCTTCCCCTAAAGCTTTCCGTTCTCCCCACCCTCACCGGCCTCCTGTGTTCCCTGGCTCAGTGCATGCATCCGTCCCTGCACATGGGGAAGCCCCCCGAACTCAGACTCTCTCTGCCCAGGTGGGTCTCCCACCCCCTCCTCCTCAAGGAACCGGGACTAGACAAGGTCCCGCCTGTGTGTTATTTTACTCAAGAGAACCAAGCGCCTGAAGCTGCACGCTGAGGAGGGGCCTAGAGGTCACTGCCTGCCCACAGTGGCCCAGGTCTAGGTGAGGGGCACGGTGAAGTCTTTCCCAAACTCAGATGCCCAGCCCCGCCTCGAGTGAGCCAGGCATGGCGTCACGCCTCCCGCCGGGACGGCTTCCATGGTACCGCGGAGGAGACGTGGCACAGAGCTCGGTGTGGTCACCGCCCGGCGTCAGCGCCTGCACTTACCCACCACGTGACCCGCTGCTCAGACCCTGCGGCGTGGGGCCCAGCAGACAAGGTTCCTTAAAACCACAAGAGGAGATTTTGATGGGCCCAGGTGGCCCAGGTGCGTAGCTTATTTAACTTAGACTGCACTGAGAAGGAAAGACTTGGTCCTGAAATTGCTTCCTTCCTGAGCTGGGTTTCTGCACCCATCTGTGTTTCTCTCCTCTCCCTCCCAGCCTTGTCCCCTCCCTCCCTCCCTCACACCTCAGACCTGTCAACAGCCCCTGAGGACATTCCCTCTCCCCTGGTCGCCTCCAGAGCAAAAGGGACAGTCCATGTTATGGATCTGTACTCAGCCAGGGTGATGGCGGAGAGCATGGCGGCCACCGGGCTCCCGCAATCTCTAAGTGAGGGCTTCCAATCTGTGTAGCAGAGCCACTTCTCTCCCTGCTTGGAGGTCTGGGAGGAGGCGGCCCGGGCGGTCATGTAGATGCCACTGGAACCCGGCCTGTCCTACCCTTCTCCCACCCCTATCCTCTCACTGGCCACCCCAGCCCAGCGGGCTGGTGCCAGCGGCATTTCAGAGCAAGCCATCTGGGTGGCTAGGGGGCAGACTAGAAAGAAAGCCAGAGGGGAGCTGGTGGGAACCTTGCTGCCCCCTGCCCTCGGCCAGTGTGAGCGTGCCCACCCCGTCCCCAGCAGATTCCGGGCACGGGGCCCTGGGCACTGTGGAGCCAGCACCCTCTCTTCTCCCTGACGTGCCTGGCTCTTTCCTGATAACCAGCGAGACATCCCTTCCAGGGCTGCATGGCATCTTTCAAGCTCTGTTACTATGGCGATGGCCACGCTGTTCCAATCCCACTTGCCTGGATAATCAAGTCAGAAAGGGAAGTGGAGGGCAGCAGAGCCCAGTGGAGGCGGCCTCTCTGTTCCCTCCGCCTGGAGGAGGGACCACAGAGAAGGATCACAGTCTTTTGCAGCTGGTTTTTACCGGGAGGAGGTCCCTGTCTGCAGGTGCCAGCACAGAGGCTCGGGAAACGGGAGCTGGAGGAGGTGTTAAAGTGATAGCATGTGACAGAGCAGAGCCGTCTGTTCATTTTATTTTATTATATTTTATTTTTAATTTATTGGGTGAGTTGGTTAATAAAATTATGTGGGTTTCCCTTGTATGGTCCTATATTACATCATCTGTATATCGTGTTGTGTGTTCACCACTCCGAGCCACGTCTCCTCCCATCACCATTTAGCTCCCTGCACCCTCTTCTGCCTTCCCTGCCCCTCTCCCGCTGGTGATCGCCAGAATGTCTGTGTCTGGGAGTTGATTTTTTGGTGTCTGCTTAATCCCTTCACCTTGTTCGCCCAGCCTCCAGCCCCTCCCCTCTAGCAGCTGTCAGTCTGTCCTCTGCCTCAGAGTCTGTTTCTATGTTGTTTGCTAGTTTACTTTCTAAGCTCTGCATGCCTTTGGGAAATCACTTCCTCTCCCTGTAGCCATCTCCAGAGTGAGGAAGCCTAGCCCCATGGTCGGCAAACTGTGGCTCTCGAGCCACATGCAGCTCTTTGGCCCCTTGAGTGTGGGTGGCTCTTCCACAAAATACCACGGCCCGGGCGAGTCTATATTGAAGAAGTGGCGTTAGAAGAAGTTTAAGTTTAAAAGATGTGGCTCTCCAAAGACATTTCAGTCGTTGTCCTGTTGGTATTTGGCTCTGTCGACGAATGAGTTTGCTGACCACTGGCCTAGTGTATCATCTACCGGGACCAGGGAAACTGATGATGCCGATAGCTGGTGAATACAACACTGTTTTGTCACTTACACTCCTGCCATGCACACACAAAGCTTCTCTGACAGTCTGCAAATAACCAGCCACACCCCTGACGCTGGAAAGTAGGGGTGTCGAACTCAATCAGAGAAGGGGCCAAAATCTAAAATCCAGCCTAAATCGCGGGCCAAATGGTTTACTGAACAGTCATAAACTGTCATTGTGATGGAAACGCAGCGGAGTGCAGTGATGACAGCGCGGTGCGGGCCACATTGCAAAGCCTGGCGGGACGGATTTGGCCCGCGGGCCTTGTGTTTGACACATGTGCTATAAAGAGTCACCTGTGGCCCTGGCCGGTGTGGCTCAGTTGGTTGGGCATCGTCCCGCGCACTCAGAGGTTCGATTCCCAGCCAAGGCACATGCCTGGGATTGCAGGCTCGATCCCCAGGGGGCGGGCATGTAAGAGGCAGCCGATCAATGTTTCTCACGTCGGTGTTTTTCATTCTCCCTTCCTCTCTCTCTCTCTAAAAATCATTTTTTTTTTTAAATTTTTTTAAGTGTCAGACACACGTGGTGGACATTCAGGGGCAGGTGGGATGACTGAGCATAGGATTTTATTTATTCATCCCCTACCCTCCAGGGAAAACCCTGTCTGCAGGTTTCCTTGGGGGGGAAGGGGGGGGCCCGGATTTCACTTCAACCCTTGGGAGGAAGAATGGCCAGTGCAGTGTTTTCCAAATGTCAGGCCACATGTGCTGCCCGGCACCAGAGTAAACGCTGGCACACATCGCTCTCGGCAGAGAACAGTGCCTCTGCCTTCCCGTCTTTGCTCTGCAACTCCTTCACTTTGAACGGAATTCACCTGAGTCAGATGGGAGTACCTGCTCTTCTCTTTGAGGACTCACTGACTGGAGCCCCAGGAAGTCCTCGGGGACGGCCTCTTGAGGCAGACTCTCGGGCATAAGGAATGAGGGGACGAGAAGGCAAGCTTTGGGCCTGGGTGTCCCAGACCTTCCGCAGAGGAGAGGGGGAGGCCCGGGAGACCTCCAGGCTGCTGAGCCGCGGTCCGAGCAGGACATGTAACGCGATGCTGGAGTCTTTCCGTGCTTTTGCTCTGGGCCAAACAGAGCCGCCTTTGGTGTTTTGAATGTCCTCCTACGTTCCCTTCTGCCAATAAATAACGTCTGTCGGCCAAACTTACCTTCCTGGTCTTGAGTCTCCGGCCGCCTCTTGAGCCAGGTGGAACTGTGTTGGGACAAATGCAGAGAAGCACTTGGTGCAGTGGGTGGCATCGGACGTTGGTCTCTCCAGAGCAACCCCATTGAGTGACACATGATGTATTAAGGAAGCGCTTCTGGAGAAAGCAGTAAGGGAATGAGCGGAACAGGAGAGGGAACGGGGAGAGGCCAAGCAAGAAGGCGCCTTACAAGGAGGCCCGGCTCCCGGTTTGGGGCGGGGCCTTAAGAGTACCAGGTGCATCTCAGTCGTCCCACCCTGAGGTCTTTGTGATCCACACTCAGTCCTTGGCAGTGGGTTGATTAGGGGCAGGGGGCAGGGGGAACCTTTCCGTCTCCACAAGGAGGCCCCAACCCTCTGAAGGTGCCAGGTGCCACAGAGGAACAGGACGGAGCACAGAACTGGTAGAAGGGATATGGATGTGCCCAATAGCGGTTAGCTACATAGGCTGCATGGACCTAGAACATATACAATGAGTGGCCAGATTAT